ATGCCTGTAGTCCCAGCAACGCAGGAGGCTGAGGTGGGAGGATCTCTTGTGGCCAGGAGTTCTAGGCTACAGTGTGCCATTATTGCCCCTGTGAGTAGCCACTGCACTTCAGCCTAGGCAACATAGCTAGACCTTGTCTCTTAAAAAAAAAAAAAGAGAATGTGATCACACATGAATGCAGGATGTTATTCATTAGAGGGAGAAATTGAGATCATTTGGGAAATACCTTAAATTTTGGCTCTTTGGAAGTATTTTATTATACTAGAAATATGTACAGTAAGCGCTTGTCATTCTTGATAGAATACATCCTAACATCTTCATTACTGCCAACATAGGATATATTAATAATTGCCTTCTTTCTCTCCTTTATTAAATAGGGACAGAAATACCATACAGGATTATTCTAAAGATTAAGAAAAACAAAATACTCAGTGGTTGGCTAGGTTCGCTCACTGGTTAAATGATTTGCTCCCAGACTTCAGCCTTGAGAGTAATTTCTGCCTCAATAAAGTAACAAATTACTGTGTATGGACCTTGGAGGTTGCTTCAGATTAATAAAACTACAGATCTTCACATGCTATAAATTTTCTGTAATGGATGTTATGCTAGTGAAAGAAACAATCAAAGATAAGCCTTTGGGAGATGAATTTTTAAAAAATTTCCAACTAATTTCCACTGGCAATTCAAGTATCCCTAAACTCTTGTCTTTCTCTAACTTTCCACCTAACCAGCAGCATCATTAATCATTTTATATCTTTTTATTGAAGTTGTGAAGGACTCCCAGATGCCTTCCTCTTTGGCAAGTAGAAAGAACACTGTGTACTCTAAAGGATCTAACTCATTTTCTCTTCCCAAGTCTCCTGTTGAAGCTTTAGGCAAATTGCCTAACTTCTCTTTGCTTGTTGACTTCCATTTTTAAAAAGTTACTTAGAAAAAAAATTCTGTCACTTATTTTACAAAATTATAAATGTAATTCAGCTAATGAAATATTTTCAGCACTGTTTAGAAAGTGCATTTTCTTGGAATATTGTCACATTGACACCCAAAGCCATGTGTTGAGCCTCCACAAGACTTAGGAAAATAATCTCCATTTCAATCTGATCCCATTCTTTTCTTAATTCACTATCACATATTGGTAGGAAAACAAACAGCTATTCTGGGCCTTTATGTTTCAGGCCCTTTATCTTTAAGTTATATTGATAGTGAAACCATCGATATCAATTTTGTAATTTACTCAAAGAAGGGGAAATCATTTTCTTTTCCATTTATGGATAAATGTGGATGTGTTTTAATTAAAATATTGTCTAAATATCATTCTACTTTTTACATTAAGTGTTAAGATCTTTCAATGATAGAAGACCCAACTGTCAGTACCCTGTGTTTCTCACGCTTGGGACCATTGGTAACTCACTTTGGTAAATGTCTTGCCTGTTTTAAGGTTTCTTGAAAGAAAAAAAAGCATTCCTTGAAATACATTGTCCATCTATACAAGCCTTAAAATGGAAAAGGGGAACAATTCCTAAATTTTGATAATATAAACATTTTTCAAACACATCTGTTAAAAGGAAAAGACTGATGACTTTAGCATGTTACAATTAATAATATATAGTAATGTACAATGGAGCTTTTTTCCTAATCTTGAAAATAAGTGTTGAGGATGGTTAATAATCTAAATTAGATTTCTCATAGTGATTTTATGTGTCCAGATATGGAATTGAACTCACTCTTTATCCAAATCTAGTTGCTAATAAGTTGTTATAAGGGACTATTGAACTTAAGGAAGTTCTTAGATACT